GTTGTTCGGGTTCCACGTCAGTGAGGGTGCTCTAAAGGCCACGCTAAGAGGGAGCCATTCCAGTCTGATTCAGTTCTGAAAAGGACCAATTTTTTCCCGTCAGTTGTTAGGCTTCCAAGTCGCAACTCTTGGCGCGTCGTGATAGATTTAAGGGCCTCAGATCCACAATGGGGGAAAACACGCGGATGTGTTGTGGGAATGGATCCCCCAATGTTGGCCTCGTACTCTTCCCTCTCTCTCTCTCTCTCTCGTGCACTAGTCGACTCTCTGAGCCTTCCTGTCAGCAATTGATACAACGGCACAGTGGCTCACAGGGTGCGAACCACCCTTATCTCCTATTGTCCCTGATGATGGGTCCGAGTAGGAATCCGAAACGTCAGGCGAATAAAGCTCTTGTCCCAGCGATCGTATCTCCTTCTTCAAGGGTGTGAAGACCTACATCTAAGAGTGCCACACGTGTATTTACGACAGTTAGAGTTAGGTTTTCGGGGTACGGTTAGGGTTTGAGCGCACGATTAGGTTTCAGTTTTACGGTTAGGTTTTTCAGTTACGGCTATGCCTAAGGGTTACGCTTATATTTACGATTTCGGTTAGGGTTGCCGTTAGGGTTAACGGTTAACGTTGAAGGCTGAGGTTAAGGATAGGGTTAAGGTCGCCGTCCGCTTCCCCATTCCTGACTACCAACTGCGATCTAGCCCACTAAAATTTTATTGTAACTACAATGGAACATCCTGGCAGCGTTTTCCAAGGAAAACAAGTAAGTCGGAAGGGCTGGAGTTAAGCCAGTACGCAGTAGCTGTCTTACCATCGAGCCGCCCCCATCTGTGGTTGCCGCATTCGGACTGGTTTTTTCACGAGAGACAGAGTCAGCGGACCAGTTTGAGGTCCATCGCAACAATGTCACTCTTCTCTCTGCTCGTACTGACTGTTTCAGCCTCGCTGACACTACAACTTCACGTCATCTTTAATGATCGCTTTCGCTTACCCTCAGTCTGCGACAGACAGCTTTATCAGGCTGACCCCGAAAGTACCGCTTTCGGCTTGCTGGAATTTACTGTCATGCTCACTTCAGTTGTCTCCCCATCTGGCGGGGAACACAGCGCATAGCATTTGCAGCAAAAACGGGAGGAGCTTGCCAATATCGCAATGTTCTCAGCACGGGTAGGATCCATAGGTCACTGACCGTGCGCGTTGAAAATGTTACATCAAATAGGCCGCTCGTTTCGCCATCCACGGGCGTGTGACAGTTCGGTGGTGGCCTACCATCCTTCTGGGAATCCCAATGGACAGGAAGGAAAGCCAGGTGGGGGCGGCGGAGTCTGCTGGTAGCAGCGTGGGTTCGGTGGGTCGTGACTTGCCGATCAAAGCGCTCCACTTGGCGATCGAAAGGCGTCATGGGGTATTTTCTTCCACGGAGGTGGTTGCGGTTAAAAGGGGAAGGGGGAGGGAGGGAAGGGAAACTGCGGAGACTTTAGCGGCGATATCAAAGAGGTGGCGGTGTGTTCCAGCCGGCCCTCCGACCATACTGCCTAATTAGTTTGGATGGCGCCAGTAGGGAGGGGGAGGTGCGGGAGCTGGGCGCTGTTTCCCACTGCCTCAAGGAGCGAGCTTTCTGTCGCAAACGCACACTGTTTGCGCCGACCTCGCTGTTTGGATGTGGATGATTGAAAACCTTGTAAAGCTGCTGTAGAACGTGGCTGCTTGCTGAAACCATGGTAGGGGGCGCTCACCGATCGTTCCGTTGTGCCTTACGGGCTCTCTCTCGAGCCCAACCAGCGGCCACACGGAGGCGCATGATACAGGCAGTATGTTATTCCCGGACAAAGACAAGGGAGACTGGAATGACCATTTCTGGCTTATTAGCCGTCGTCAGACAGTCATACCCAATCCCGAAATGTGGAACACCTGAGGCTCGAACTGGCGACCTGTTAGTTAGAAGTCCACGCCTCTAATCACTGGGCCACGAGCCCGTTGTCCTGTCGGTCCTTGTATGTTCCCGATCGAAACCGACAGGACAATGGGCCCATGGCCCAGTTGTTAGAGGCGTTTGGACTTCTAACTAACAGATCGCGAGTTCGAGCCTCAGGTGTTCCACATTTTGGGATTGGGTTTCACCGGCTGACGACGGCCGATAAGCCAGAAATGGCCACTCCAGTCTCCCTTGTCCTTGTCGGTAATAACATACGGCTGAAACCATCTCTTAGGCCGGTTCCAGAGGCATTTGTTAATGATAGACGCAGTCAGTTGTTTCATGCATATTGCTTTTGACTTACCCGTCGTCTGTCTAAAATGGCCATTGCTGGAAGAACGACATAATACATTAGCAGACTGTAATGTAAACTTTGAACCGTGCAGATCCGAAGGCTTTCCCGAATTGCTCTACTGTCGCAGAAAACGACTCTACTGTATACAACCTGGCGTTTAAGGCTAGATGACGGGGTCTGGGGACGTTCGTGTATCCTGGTGACTTGCGCAATGAATACATCCAATCACGCTCTGTGGCTCTCCCACAAATAGCCCCATAATAAACGTTTTTGCGCATCAGTACGACATAAACTTTTTTTTACCAGAGTAAATCCCCCTGCTGTTCTCGTAAAGGACAAGCGCCAGTTTCTGACCTTATTAATTCGTGTGGTACAGATTTGCTTCGAGATGCCAAAATGTTTCCCAAGTTAGGCTGCCAATTCAATCGAGTCGAAATCCATTGTCTGAATGTGCCCCAGTTAATCGCTGTCTGCTGCATCTTGAGTTTGGAATCTCTCTCAGACAGGTCTTTCTATTCTTATGCAGTTCAGCCCCAAAAAATGCGGGAACGAGTTCGAAAATGTATTCAAAAAAAGACCCTGACAACCTCGCGCTCGTCCAAACTGTCGCCACGATGTGTGTTTGCGTTTTTCAGCACTGTACCATGCCTCAGCCATGTCGCGTGCAGGTGTAACGCGTCAGGGGGGGAGGGGGGCGTCTGTGCGACCTCTGACGCGCCTCTGCTCGCCTCACGTCATCACTTTTTCTGGTCTGTCTCTCCCGAGGCCAGGCACTAAGGCGTTGCGTCACGGGGTGCCTGTTAGACGCCGGCCACACCGTGGATGCGGGTTAGCCTCTGTCTCGCATGAGATAGTACGTCACGTGACCAGCCCCCACCTTTCGCGTGCTGAACACATGCTAACTGGCCTCCTAGCCCCTCTGCTATGCCCTCTCGTGCGCCTGCCTACCGTTTCATTCCGTTCATAACCTGCCCTGTTTGACCC